GTCTGTGGCCCTCGGGCGAGCGGGGAGCGGAGGCAGCCCCAGCAGCGATGGTCTCTGAAGGGGCAGGGGCCTGCCCTGTTCTAGAACCACTGCTTTGGGCGGACCAGCTCGGCCTCAGCAGCACCCTCTGGGTGGGTTTTGCTTGTCCGTTCGCTGGGTTTTAGTTTATCGGAAGCGGTTTGAAAGCTCTCGGGTGACGGGGTCCCTGCCCTGCAGAGAGGCACCGACCCTGGCACAGGCGCGCTGGAAGCCTCTTCCCTTCCCAGCTCAGGAGATGCTCTGCGAAAGCGGAAAACCTGGTGGTTTCGTACTTCCATGTGACACGAGGGAATCGTCCCAGCCCCGCTTCCCCGCTGCCTTGCGCTCTCCTGCTCACCTGGCAAGGAAGAATCCCTTCTTCTGCCTCCCCTCCAGGCCAGGGACAGGATCACCACTCTCACCGTCCCAGAGCTCTGGTCTCCCCGAGAATGGCCAAACGGCTTCGCACTGCCCCGAGCACAGGGGTCGGGTGGCTCCGCGCGGGGTCAGAGCGGGTCCCGGTCCCCTCCGGGTCGCTTTGGGGCTCAGGGACATCGCTGAGGTTTGCGGGGTGGGGATGTTGCTGTCTCGGGGTGCTCACAGCAGGTACCAATGTACCTGTCTCGCCTGCTGCTCTTTTGTACGTGTCACGGCTGGGCAAGGGGAAAGGTCGTTTATCTGTTGGTTTGCTGTCAAAAGACAACTGGGGAAACCATTCCCAAGGATTTACAGCTTGCTTTGTCCCTTCCCTTGGTATTCCCAGTCCATGCAGTCTCAACTTCTACAGGCTTTAATCTTCAACATGTAACTTGCTACTGCTGCTTGTCTCTAAATAGCAATATTTTTGAGGTATTTTAGTGGTCACACTCATACAGCCACTGCTGTGCGTGCCTCCCTTCCCTCTCACGGTGAGAAGCTGATGGATATGGATACAGGCAGTTACATGACCTTTACAGTCTCGCTTGGAGTCCAGGAACGCAGCTTTAAGATTGTTTCAAGTCATTTTGATTTTATTACAAACCAAAACACTTCACATTCAATGGCACCTCAGGTACACAGAATAATTACTCTTGGGGGACGGGGGGGAACCCCAGAGGTATCAGTACAGCTGTAGCTCCCTTAGGCTCTTCTACAGGAGATCCCAAACTTGAAAGCACCCAACATCCCACCCTCTTTGGCTGTTAGGTTACTTCGGGGATGTTACTTCAGCCTCACACGTTAGCGATAGAAGCTGTTTGATAAAGAGTGGACTGGCTACTGAACCACAGCAAGCGGCGTCTGAAAAGAACCATCGTCACCCGCCAACCGTGTTTTCAGACACAGAAGGTTTGTGCTGCAGCCGTACAGCGGATCATCCACGGGACGGGGTGTTGTGTGTGCGTGTAGTCACCTGCTGCACCTTACCACTGCTGCGTTGGTCGACGCGGTCAGCGGAGGGGGAGAGGCCCCACGTGCAGCAGGGCTGCGGCGCTTGCGCTGGGTGGTCTGTCGTGCTCCTCGCTTGTTGTCTTTTGTGAGAGAACGCCGGGGTATGGAGCAGCTCTTTATGTTCCGAAAGGCTGCTCTGGTTGTGGCATCCAGGCTTCCCAACGAGCCGGGGCAACGAAGGCTTAAACTGAGGGATTATCTATAATTTAGCAATCACAAATGAAGCAGGGAGCAGATGAAGCTTATTGGTTTGCGCAGTGCTGTCATGCTGTGATATGTGCTAATATCACATAAAAGTAACAACTGTTGAGGAGCCTCCCTGCAATGTCCTTTCCCATCCTTTATCACAGTTAAGTTAAAAAGACTGGACCGCTGCAAGCTCTATTTTTATACCCCCGGGCGTGTGCTATCTCCTTTGAAAGCTGACACTGTTTTAGGCAGGAGTACAAGAAGGGAGGGGACAGCATTTCTCTACCCCTGCACTCACACAAAGTCAAAGCGTGACTCTCATTATGTGCTGCTCTTCTGTCCTTATTCTGTGTCACTGTCAGAATAAAAGTACTGCGATTCTCTTTTTAGTTACAAGAGGTGTTCGAAATGAATGCCCGTCCACACTGAAGATTAGCTTACGCGGTGTATGATTCTCTCCAGCGTAGTTCTGACAACAGCAGAGTCAGAAGGAGACCAGATAAACGTCAGTATTCATACAATTTCACAAAGCTCCCTACTCGTCTTTACCAAAAAAATAAAAGCCCCAAAAGATTTTAAACGAAAGGAAACGTCCTTCATTCAACACCGTTAAAACCTCTCAGCGCTGTCAAAGTGACCTCCAAGCTTCTCCGCCTCTGCCTGCTGCAGCCGACGCGCTGCTGTCCGTCCTCAGGCTTTGGTGATGTACCCTTCTCGGATAAGGAAGTCGTAGATTTTCCTGGTTTTGTTCACATCGATCTTGATGAGCGCTCTGGCCTGCGCTAGTCTCAGGCCGCCTTGCTTGTTACACTCGTTCACTAAAGCAGCTTTATACTCCAAATAGGCTCCAGGGACCAACCGCACCATCTGACAGAGCTGGAAGACAAGAGGTGAAGTTCATGAACACTCACGCTTGTCACGCTCTTTCGTTCTGCGATCCCTGCTGGGGGAGTAACACGGCGGATATTTTTCCGAAAACATTTTAAATGTGGTTGGGTGGTTTTTAGTTTTTTTTCGCATGGGGGGAGGCCCGCAGTAATCGCGTTAGGAGCTGTTTCGATCCACAGGTAGGGAGGGGAGGAGCTTGCTGGCTGCTGCATTCAAAAACATTCCTGGCTGAACACTACACCAGGAGGATGAAAGCAAGCCCTGGGCTCACAGGAGCGTAACTATGAGTGTGTCCCGTGTGGGCGTTGTTCTTGACAAACCGAGGGAAGTACACATGCCAGAAAGACTTGCAACCGGGCGTGCTGGCCCGGGGCCAGGGAGGGCATCTGCCTACTAACCCCCTGCAGACGAAGGCTTTCGTACCCTTCTACAGCAGCAGCTACGCGCACGCCGCCTGCCCCCGCTGCCAGGCTGGGATGGAAACCGTGCGGGGAGGGCATCACACGCTGGGAAGTTTGGTAAAAGGAGTTGCTTTCCAAAGCCCCCGCGTTCTGCTGTCCGGCTGCAAGGCTCCCGTTCCACTTCCCAACACCAGCCGCCCTCGAGCTGGTGCCCTGTGGTGCTCCCAGTGGAGATAGTGGCTGTCTCCTGCTTTTAATCAGGAAATGCTTAATGATTGTTCCTCATTGATAGGAAATTGCAGAATTCGGAGGAACTCAGACTCTGTGTCTCAGCTGACGAGGAAATCGGATTCCCTGTATACACTAATGTCCTAGTCACAATTATTTATATGCTGAGTGGAGCCAGAAATGCCATGTTCCATGGCAAATCTGTGATCTGATTTTCAATGCTGCCATCTCCAGTGAAGGGGAAACAGCTTCCACGCCAAGGGAAAAGTCTGAAATACATCTGCATTTCACATGCACTGAAATCTGCCTTGCGGATGATCTAAAGACAGACTATGACTTCTGTTAAAAAAAAAAAAAAATATTCTTTTCTTTCCATTGTTTTCCAGTGTTGCCTTTCACTGAATTAGTGGGCAGGCCTACCCCGGGCTGCAGAACCTGCGCCGTGAATGGCGGGCAGGCCCCTGGCTGCGTTGTTTGCTGCTCTCGGGGGTGCCGACGGGCTGCAGTCCCGCCTCTGCCTGCCCTGTCCCTCTGCCCCGTGCCTCCGACCGCTCTAGGTGACGCTGCAAGCGCACCCCACACGGGACTGCAACACGCCGAGCTAACAGCCCGTGGCTTAAGGAAAGCCAGGTTTCATTTTCTGCCACACGTGCACACGGAAGGCTTGGCATATGCACTGTATAGCAGAAATATGGAAAAAACATTTCAAGAGCAATACCCTGTTATCGCTTCCATGGTTCACGTTCGTGTTACAGTGAAAAACCAACCATAACTGGTTGTGATTTGGCTGTGAGATATCTACAATCCAGAAAGAGCTCTGCTATTCAGGTTCAGTAATCTGTCCAGCGAAGCCCTTGACAAAATCCCCAGCCAGTTTTGAAACCAATGTTCATTAAGGAAAAAATGACCCTTCTGCTCACCCCAGTCTCCCATGGAGGAAGAGAGGATGTCATACTCTGGATGCTATAATAGCGGGTAATAGCACCTCGGTGCTCTCCACCTTTCTTTGCTAAGTAAGCTCGTTTGCTGTAGCTATGTTGTTTGTATAGCACAGCAACTGAAATGCAGGAGCCAGCTGGAAACCCTGAATGACTTTTGTGAGCAGGAAAGAGTAGTCAGGGCATATAGCAGAGGTGATATTCACAGCACCCGAGACAGACGGTGTGATCACTCCTGCACCGTGAAGATAAAGTTTTATATAGATTATCTTTTCATTCCTTTCCTCACCTCCTTCTCCTTCTCGTTAAGTTTCTCTGTCCCTGGGAGACCTGTGAGGTTCAGCGGTGGGGCACTCCGTCTACCTGCGGGGACAAGAAAGGAAAATGCTGCAGAACTCTGAGCAGTTTGGCAGCGGCTGTTCCTTAGGTGTGTTATCACAGAGGCCATTAAATCCTCATGATGGTAATTGAGCATGATCCAAGTGTTTATAGCCAGGGTTATTTAGGGCTTAACACAAAAACTGCAGTGATTTGACAAACGGTGTGATTTTCAGCCGACATGGTTAAGGGCTGTGAATACTTGTGGAAGGACTGGTGTTGTGAGCCCTGGCTCACTGGCTTTTAGGAGGAACCGAAAGACAAGAGCTTTGTCACATCGGCCGTGGCGCAGCGGGGCAGCACCTCCTGACTAAGCCGACGCTCCCAGCCGGGCTCGGGGCGGTCAGTGCTGCGCGGAGGGTGTGCCGGGTGTGCGCAGCGTGAAACTGTACCTCCCCGGGATGCCGAACTGCTTATCGGTGCGACCGGCAGAGTTTCTCTGGCATTACTGGTAACTTCATGAGGCAGGGTTGTCTTTAAATGCCTTCAAATGTACTGCAGATACTGTCAAGCAAACGCAGTTTGTGGATTTATTGTTGCCTGTTATGATAAACAGTACTGAAAGAAGTATCTGTCACAGGGTAGTCTGGTAGTTCTCAATTTTGCTACTGTTTATAACTTCGCTGAACTTTAAGCTGCAGGAGTTAAACCTTCACAAAGGCTGTCTGCTTGCCAGTTGTTTTTTCTAATAGTATTTTCTTTAACTTCCAGACTTAGAACAAAGCTAGGGTTATTCCTTTACGTCTTCAGAAAGCCTGTTGACCCTGTGCTGTGGGGTTGCATATTAGCACTGCTAGAGACGGGTCTCTTAGTGCCAGGACAGACTTCCTAAATTTGGCAAAGGGATGAAATCTTGGAAAATCCACAGCTCCATTTTCCCAGGGGCTGCAGTGGCTGCGCTCTGCCCACGTCCCGCCTCTGGGACTGGGGACTCTCTGTTTCTCCTGGGCATCTGCAGGAGAGGGAGGGGAGCCCGGCTGGGTGAGGGGGGCCTGGCCAGGGAGAGAACTGGAGGACTAGCAAGAAGCTGGAGTAGCGAGTCTCTGGTAGGTGTAGAGGAAGTTATTTCCCAGCACTGCTCCCTCTTTCTGCAGCCTGGAATGAGCGTGCTATGATGAGACACGACAGAATTTGGTTTTACTCTTTTATAAACGTAGGAAGTAACACACGCATGCAAACTGCATTAAAGAAAACATACTTAGGCTGCAGAGTCAAGATCTCAAAATCGAGAAGTAAAGTTAAGCAATGTTAATTTGCCCTATTGTATATTCAGTATGATGCAGCCTTTAATCATATAGACACGTGGCAGTTTTTCCGCAGTATCCTGGCCTTATTCAGCATGCAGGATGTTTGCTTAATTACCAGCTATATGGTATTTTGTTTGGGTTGTGTTCAACATGTGATACTGGTTGTAAACACTGCCTACTATCCAAGTTCATTGGGCAAAACAATTCACGTTCTCTTGGGTGCTGCTCCTTCACTGCCCACTGAATACTCGACTAAAGATTAACTCCACTCTTCACACTGGCCCTTCAGCTGCGGGGACACTGTCCCCATTCCACGGACTCTGGATGCCCAGCCTGAGATATACAATGCTATTTTCTCTCCAAAAGAACAGATCTTTGCTATCACCAAATACACTTAAAACATAGCGCATACCGCAATGACTAATTGCTCGGTATTCTGACCCAAATTTCCAGGGCTCCTGGCAGAAATGAGGAAGAACATCTAGACTCAGTGTACACCTCTGAGAGGTTTGGGTCGAGTGGCTTATTAGCATCCACATAAAAACTGGACGTAGAGACAGAGCTAGAAGCCAGTGTTCCCTGGCAAAACTTAACAGCCTTATAGTAAAACTTCATCCTAGTCTCCTACATTGCGTGCCACCCTGTGACCTCAACAAACGAGATGGGGTATCATAGAAGTCTTGTTCACGGGGGCCTTGACTGACCCCTGAACCTGTCCTTGCTGGGCACGGAAAGAACTAGGGATCCACTTGGTGGAAAACCCCCATAATTTGTGATTAGAGAATTAATGACTATAAAAGCATATTCACAGAAAAGGAAAACTGAAGTTGCACAGGCAACCTGTATCATCTCACTCTGTCACTCTGGAGTGCTTGATGCTGCAACCATTGCCTGCTTCTCAGGCAACTGTTTTTTGGTGTTCTGCCCTCCCAGATCTGCTTTCTGTCCAGTTCATACTGCTACGGTATGTGCTAGACAGCTTCATTAAAAACCTGGACTAGCTTCATCTTTTAAAGATAAAAATGTCATTCTTGTGAAAATTCTTTTCCTTCCTGCCTTGTTAATGGAGCTTTCAGATGGGTTTTCCACCTGTAGTCAGAAAAATCGAGAAATCTGGCAAAAAACCCTACGGGATTTGCACGCGGAATGAGTTGCAGATTGAGGTAATGCTGACGTGAGCAATGCTTAACCATGAGGCTTGAGGACTGACACTTCTGCACTCAAGCAAAAGAGCCACTCCAGCTGCCTGTCAGTAGGGTGTTCCTGCTGCATGGCTGGCTTTTTACAACAGACCATCATCCTACAGTTACCTGAGTTTGAAGGGACTGGTACCGTGGGACTCAGGCCAGAATCACTGAAAAGAAAGGAAATTTTCAAATTGTCTTCATATTCTTTTTTTTTAAGAATAACTGCATATGTTGGCCCTGAAACAACTTTTTCCCCAACTCTAATAATAATACAATTCAGCTTGCGTAAGCCAGGCTCTGATTTTAGTCATCAGGATTTCTAAACATTAGCACTCTCAGATTGAAGACCATGTCTGAAACATCTTTTAAAAAAAGGGGGGTGGGGGATAAAATAAAAACACGCAGGGGAGACTGACTGGGGAAATTCCAAAATTCCACATCATCTTCTCCGACCGCGTCGCGTACAGGATGCACTGCCTTTGCACTGCCGCTTGCTCCTTAAATCAAAGTGCTCGTGCAGGGTGACTACGCATTAATAATGCTGCTACATCTGAAATCATCTGAAACATTTCCAGTGTCATCTGTGCCCTCGTTAATAAAGACCTTATTTCCCTCTATGACTTTGTTAGCAGCAGTTAAGTTCCTGAAATATACAGAAAACTGAGATTTTTGAGCCGTTACTCGTCACTTTTCTGCACTTCACAAGCACTGTTGCTGTCATCCACAGTTTCTTACCCTCCTGAATTTTTCAGACTGTAATAAGTTGGGAACGCATCTGTTGTTATCAGACAGGAAAGTGTGTGTGATGCACCTGACTCGGGCATAGGGATGTAAAACGCAGCGTCTTACTGTAACCGTACATATCAGCCTGTCGACTGAGCCACTGCTGGCAGGCGCTGCTGTCCTGGATGTACTGCAGGACTTCAGACAGCATGGTGCGCTTCAGGCGCTCCTCATCTCTTGTCTTCTTCAGGTGGTCGTACGTCCTGGCACCTGCGGCACACAGACACCACGCTCTCACCGGCTGCCTCGGTCAAAATTTTCAGACTGTTGTTTTTCTGCTTTAGGAAATAAGTGAGAAACTGTTCTCTAGCTCTGGACCAGATGCTGCTATTCTCCCTCATGACAACTACTTGGCATGGGAAGGTATTAGATTCCACCCTGCACCCCTCCTCCCATTAACTTCAGGCCAAAAACAAACAAAAAAGGCTTCCATGATCCAATTCCAGCATAAACCAGGCCATTTCGTTTACGTAGAGGTCTTAGCCCTCTCTCCAGATGCCACACTTGTTGATAGCCAGCACAAGTGTCCAGGGATAAAGCACTGGAGACCACTGTGCCATGACATAGTGTTTTTTTGGTTTTTTTTCCTGAGTGTTTTGCAAAGCAGTGGCTAAAGCAGAGCTCTGCTAGCCAGCGTGTTCTCGGAGCTGACGGCTCAAACCAGCGTTCAAAATGCACAGCTGGACTGAAGCACTATTGCTAAAGCCTTGTTCAGTTAAAGAGCTAGGCAAATGCATTTAGAAATCAGTGTCTTTTTATTCATCATGACCTCAATGTTGTAAAATCATCCTTCCACATCTTGATGAATGGGAATAGGCTGAATAATGTATCTGGGGAGCTCAAATTCCACTGTTTTACCCCAAGAGTAAGCACAAGGGAAATCCAAAAAACAAATGTGGGTCGGGGGGGTGCTGTGAACTGCGGTGTACATTGCTATTTCTTATTTGTCTATACAGTTCAGCTAAAAAGTATGCAGAACCACAGACAGGGTTAACCTCTCTGCACAGTCTGTACCAGATCTCAAGCTCACTGTGTCGTAACAGTCCCTGATCACAGATTTAAGGCAGTTTCTAGCATTTGTGCGCTCAGAAAAGTTATTTTGTCTTCGTGCTTTGACAGTTCCTTTGTCATACCCTGGACAAGGCAAATAAGAATAATGTAGGATTTCTGGAAGGCATTTCAGTAGGTTTGAAAAACTATTCCATCCAGGCTCGTTACAGCATCTAATACTGTCTTTGAACTATGATTTTCATAACTGGACCTTCCAAAATTTTTCCTCGCAGACAGCTCTCTTTCTGCAGTCAGTAAGATTAAATGCCCATGTTTCTTTGGCGCGGAGATATTTACTGCCTATAGATTTTATCAGCTGGCTTCCAGGCATTGCTGAGTTTAACAGTGAGCAAGTTTGCCTGTCTCGAACTTGTTTACTCACACTCCTCAGGAGATCGGTATAATGCGTGCATTTGACCATCGGGTTAGCTTGAGGACTTTGCTGTCCCTACAACAACAAAACCAGGGCCCAGGACGAGCACTCGCGTGCGGGACTCGTGGTTTTGCAGGATCATACTTTTGGCATTTCACAGAGGGTGTCCTGGAAATACAGTCACAACTGTTTAAATGCTTTGCTCTTTCTAATGAGCAACAATTTTCCCGGTTTAAGTCAGAGAATTAAGCAGGATGTAATGACTCGTACTGGAATTTGACTAAATGCATGCTATGATTATGCATAACGACTCCAGATGATTCGGTGGTGGAACAATGCCTCTACCTTTAAGGTAAGGGACATAATGACAGCTGTACTATATAATTATGTACACACATAATAGTTTAACATGTATCTTTCAAAGAATTCACAATTTGCTGCCAGCTCCCAATTCCTCAATACAGACATACATTTCAGGGATTTTGTTCTTTCAGTGACATGGAGTCCCAGTGAATGAATAGTGGTCTTTTGATAAGAAAACACTACATCTAGCACATGACCAGAATGTTCAGTCAACCGAGAAATCAAAGAAAGAATTCAGACACAGTTTAGTGGAAAACACACCTGCTGCTCATTTAATGTATCAGACCACAACTGTTTTTCTGAGGTAGTTAGATGGGGGAGAAGGGGAAAAACAACCTCCTGCCCTCCAGGAGTGGTGTATATTTAGGAAAGATTGTAGATGATGCAACCCCTCATTAAGCCTGTTGAAGAACATATATGCTAAAATCCTCAAAATACTTACAGGCGTGGCTTTCAATGAACTTATCATGCTCTACCGGTCCAAGAATTCGTGCAAATCGTCGCATTGTCTCATAAAGGTCTTGAACCTCCTTTGGATATCGCCTTTCCAAAACTAGAGGGGGAATAAAAGCGACAGACCTTGTAACTCCTGCTGTGAGAAGAAATGAAACCCAGTGGAACCTGAGGTGACTACAAGCCTCTGTGAACTGCCCAGAGACGCCGGTTTGGTACACTCCGCGGCCGTTTTGGTGTCACAACTACAAATTGCTGAGTAAAAAGCAACAAAATTACCCCATCCTTACAATTCCACAAGCACGAAGGGTGATATTTAAATATTGTTTGATCATTTCTTAGAATAGCGAGATATACACTTAAAAGGCCTAGATTTCATCTTCACCCCCCTCCCTACCCAGCGGAGCCTGAAATCCTTCTGAAGAGCAATTCTGAGGCAATAACGAAAAAACTGAGCTGGGAGTAGTTAGAGCCAGCCGGCTGGAAACAGCTGGGGCAGGAAATCTGCTGGAATTCAGACCATCTGAATATGGTCCAGCACGAGCAAACCCCAGCGGTGCACTGGAAACAGTGAACACGCGACGTTTTGCTTCCTGACCAGAGGCCACTTTGAAGTGCAGCAGTTACACCTGATACTCACTCTGAAATTTTCTGAGGTTGATTAGGCCATGATCTCTTATAATTCTGTAATTGAGAGCAAAATGGTGTTAATAAAAGGCATTAATTTGTGTATTACCTCATAAATACAAAGGCTTCAGAAGAAACTTTGATTTAGACCATCAGAGGCGTCTAAAACTAACCACGTATGAAATTTCCATAGCCCTTGAGCTGGCTAGCTGAGAAACGTGATGTAGTGAGGCAGCACGGCTTTCATCAGGGTAAATTGTGGACAGTAGCGTGCAGTAGTCCCACTCTGACCAAGCACTAAGCACAAAGGGAGCTACGATCGCTTTAAAGGTCTGAAATTGCTTCTTTAGACGCAGATTTCGCATCTACGGTGTCTTACAACCTGTCCTTCCAAAATTGGAGGTAAAATAGTGTCTCATGAAGCCTGATGTCCTGCTTCAGAGAGACACACATGTCCCTCTGCTAGAGCAAGGGCGAGAGATGGACTCTAAATTTCACCACTGGGAGCAGGATGAGGGAAGTTTCCCATGACAGCTTAGATTTCAAAAAGAGGAGAATGTTTGAAATGCTCCTGACAGGCTCAGGGAAACGAGCAGTGTGAAAAGGCAGGTAAGAGAATTCCAAGCGCGTGACAAGTACGTTTGTCACCGGTTTCAGGAAGCGGCGTGTGGGCATCGCTATGTGGTGATTCCACAACCACCTGACTTTTGCAAATGATAAGAGATACTACACAGTTGGGCCCCTCAAGGTCAGGTTGGAATTAGCTCTGTAAAATCCCTTACATTTTCTTTAGTATGTATAACAGTATTCCTGTCCCATGTAGAGGAGACTTTCTGCATTTTTATCTCATTTATCAGATGTTTGTCCCATCCTGCTGTAGAAACTTTACACAAACTGGCACCGACTGAGTTATGTAACTGAGCCTCATGACACTTTCTTTTAGCACAACATGATTCATCATAATGGGAATTATACTACAGAAATATTTTTTATTTATGAATTATAAAGAATCAGGGCAATAGATATCAACTCTCACCTGTTATTCAGCAGAGCTATGCTGCATTACGAGGAGAAGGAATGAAGGAGTCTTACTCTAAATTACTAATTCTTCCAGCAGGGAGTAATACAGCAAGATATAATTTTAAATATTGAACAAAGTATTTGAAAGTTATAATAAAATTGAATTTAACGAATAGAATGAGTCATTCTAAAAAGCTGTCAAATGAACTGAATAAATTATTCAAACTCATGTCAGCAATATAGTTATCTTCATTAAACACTGTGGAAAACTAACTTATGGACCACTCAGAATTAAAAATAATGATGAAAACATTTCTATGGAGAAAGTGGGGGTCTAGCAATTAGTCACAGACTGACAGCTTTTTCTTCTTTTCCCTAAAGCAGAAAATGAACTCTGTGCAGTCCATCAGCATTACACAGGGAACAAAAACAACGACTCGCTTCTTTTCCTGGTTCCTAGCCCTAGGTCCGTGGCCGGTTTCCCAGATAGTATTTCAGTTTCTCATTCTGCAAAATGGCTACGCGATCTCACAAGGTGTGCTAGAAGCTTAGCTAGTTCTGTATCACTGGATTAGGGACAGTAATATGAAGAGCACTGCGTACATGATTTTCATGCACTAAAGAGGAATAGAAAAAGGGTTTTCACAATTAATACAGGCTGCTCAGGGAGGTTGTGGAGTCTCCTTCTCTGGAGATATTCAAGACCCGCCTGGACAAGGTCCTGTGCAGCCTGCTGTAGGTGACCCTGCTTCGGCAGGAGGGTTGGACTAGATGACCCACAGAGGTCCCTTCCAACCCCTACTATTCTGTGATTCTGAGAGTTCAAAGGACAGTTACGGTGTGCAGAGGTCCTTTGTTAACCATGTGTGCTAATGAGTCTCAGGGTCTGTTCATCTGTGTTTTCTGGGCTGCTACCGTTCCTAAAGCCATGGGCCTGATCTTCATCTGTGCACAGAAGGAGAACCACATATCCAAGATGAAGTCTGCCATGCAAATCTCATAGCAGAAGGTCTCCGTGCATGGGGATCACCTGCAAGGATGCTAGAGGAATTCAATTATGCTTAGGATTAGGACAACACTGGGGAGCAAAAGATGGTAATGAAGCAAAGGAATGCAGTTATTGCTTGAAAACTCACTTTTTTCTTCTCTGTCTTTCCTTTAACCTGGAATGATAGATATCTACAACTGCAATCTTCAGAGCTGCAAAATAATAACAATAAAAAGATTACAGAATACTTCAGTAATCACTGTAGTAGGCTAATTTTTAAGCCTTTATGGTAGGCTGAAATGGTCACTCTACTTTGCTGTTTTAAAAATCCTGTGGCAATTTTACAGGGGCATAGACTGACTACAGGGAAACCTTCTGCAGACTCTACATGCTACCTGTAGAAGCATTCTTTTCCTTTCTCCTTCCAAGTACATTACTGCCTGTAAATATGAACCTAGGTAGATCCTGAGAGCTCTTTTCCTCTTCCTTCTTAGACTGTTTTACTGTTAGCACTTATTTGTTCCTCCACACAAGCAATTGTTAAGTATTTCTCCGCCTGAAAAGCAGATTTATCAGATTTAAGGATCTGAGGTATCATCTTTGGACAAAGGCTTCTTTGCACAGAACAAGGAACTCCAAAAAACAGACAGACAGTTCTGAACTGTGAAGATTCAAAGTAGCCTTTGCTACAGTTCTTAAAAACATCTACAAGATTTTAGCTTGTTAGCTTCCGAACTTCTCTCTCTGCCAAAAGAACAAAGAAAATAGTTCACGGCAATGTGAAGCAGCACAGGAAAAAGCCATGCTCGTTAGAAATCACATCCTTTTCAAAATCAAATCTGTCTGCGGTCTGGCTGATCCACTCGGAGAGCCTTCAGCTTCTTTCTCCTGTAACCGTTATGTTCATAAACCTTCTTGGTAAATTCTTGAAAGAAAAGTTAAGGAGACACCTATCACCTTCCCTTCCCTCGTTCTGTTAAATAATGCAAAAATTCTAGGTCATTAAATCAGCGTAGAGTTGGCTGGTTTCCTGGTTGGCTTTTTTTCCTTTCTGTTAATCATTTCAACGTGCTCCCAGAAGGAAGAGGCCTGAGACTTGAGAGTGGGTTTACAGTCTGGAGAGACAACACGCAGCTCTGAAACTCAGCGAGAGCACGTCCCCTTCCAGCCCAGTGCTGTGACCAGGGGTGGCCCAAGCGCGACAGAATCCAGAATCCATCCCGTGGTCTGTAGCCACAAGAAAAAAGCATAACTGATTCTGGCAGCTTATTGATTGCGCTCTCCAATAAATAATTAATAATGCAATTAAGAAAGCAGTGTGGTTATGTGTCTACTTTAAGATATGTATTTATACGTAAACACCAGGAAGCCCCTAGCGTCTAGGTAATTCATCTGTGCAGTCCTCTGGGTCATAAAATTCCTTCTAAGCAGGGACAGCTAAAGCCCAAAGGCCGTGCGTATCAGCTCAGGAGCCGACAGCTGTGAGTCACGCTTGCTGATCCTCTATTAGCGAAAGAATCTTCAATCTATACAAAACTCATTTGATGTTAATCTGGGAGCAAAAGATCATGTATGAAGACAGGAGGGCCGGTACAATATTCTCGCTTCTTTTCACAAATTTCTGGCACAACCAGAGTGCTCAAGAATCATCCGGTAATTTCATAAAGAGGAATTTTAAGTTTCCTAATTTAAGAACAAGCACAGGTAGCAAACTCTTCTGGCTTAAACGTGGAGACCAGGAATTGGGAAATGCAGTAAGTTAAACATGAATGAAATACATTACTAAGTGCTGGAATCGGTGCCAATTTACGGAAAATATTTTTATATTTTTAAACCCTCTGCAAGGTAAGCTAACACGTTATTTTCTGGGGTGTGTGTAGGCAGAGCTTAATGAGTACATGCAGAAATTGCATTGGAGAACCTCTATAAATATCACAAGTAATTATGCACCTATAACCATTGCATTCTGATGCTTTCACCTGAGTGCACAACATTCTGAAAGAAATTATGATCAGCTGGGGAGAGGAAGGAACATTAATGAGAACAAATGAAGGAAAAAATGGAGCTTCTGCTTACAGAAAAATTAGTACTTGCTGCCACATGCACTTTTGGAGGGGTTTTGTTTTTAATAGACATATTCACACAGGAACAGCCGATTACAAGATCTGGAATGCATGAATTACTCAGACTACTATACTGCTACATGCCGCATTGAAATGAGAAAAGAGATGCTGTACGAATGGAAATGATTTGCCTGTGCTTTTCCCCATGGATTATACCAGGGAGGCAGCTGTTTGTACTGCTAACTTCAGATAATCCAAGCCGACATCATGTTCAAAGTGTCCATTTTGGAAAAATTATTAGGTTCTTTGAGATGGTCAGAGCGGCTTTGAAGGATCCAGTGATAGGCAGAAATTCAAGGCTCCTTTCTCCGTTCCGAAAAATCAAAATATTTTCGTTTCTCCAGAGTGTGTCCAAAACAGTTTCTTTGCTTTTCATTCCTCTTCAGCCTCGTCTGGTCTGCAAAAACTTTTCTGAACACTAATGAGTGAGACCTTTGTTTCACGCTAGCTAACCTCTGCTTGGCATGCAAGGTCCAAATAATGGGAAGAATGCAAACTAATCAAAGCAAACAGGCTGCCTATCCAGCCCGCGCCTTGCGTGGTACAAACTTGGTGTCTACAATGCAAATTCGCCCTCCCTGGAGGAAGGCAGGACCCTAGGCAGACAGAGTATCCGCCTGAAGAGCATGGCAGGAACTTTCACAAAAGAATAAACATCATGTAATGTTTAGCAGGATGTTGACTGCTTTGTATCTTACAAAACAAAATTTCACTACCATACAGCCAGAGCTGCAGTCTATTTCCACTCCCTTCTAAACTTGCGGTTTCAGCAATTCCTTTCCAGTGTTGGAAGTAAAAATCACTTACATGAGAAGGAAGGGGGAGAAAAAGCCTGGAAAAAGATAAATGACTAAGTTTATAGTTCAGTCTGAATTAGATTTGTAACTAGTTTCTTTCGATCTGTCCATTACGTTTTTGTTTAACTGCAATATATCTATGCATGCACTTACTGCATTGCACGTACTGAATGGAAGTTACCAGTTCAGCGAGTTAATTGAAATCGGAGAGATTTCATACAATTTCTACCATCTCCCTAAGATCAAGAAGGGACTGAGCAGCCTCTGCGAGCTCCTGGGCGGTGGGAGGAGCGGGTGAGGCAGCAGGTGCAGGTTTCCGTGTTCGTCAGAAAAAGCTGCCGGGGAGTCTTTCCACCTTGTATTAAATTGTGTTCTTCTTTCTTGTGGAAACACTGAGAGCTCATTTGGAGCGACACAGGAAAATATAATGGGGAAAATGCAGCGATACCAGGAAACAGAGGTCAAGCAGAGTAGATCTCGAACTTTTTATAAAATGATTTTTGCAAAATTTCAGGAAAAGCAGAGCAATGTGCAGGAAACAGAAGAAGGGGGAATTCTGTTCCAGTGAAAGCATCAAATCTTCCTGTGTTAACGTGCAAGCCAGCCACTGCAGCACTGATTAGTGACTTGTGAAACAAAGAAGGAGAGACCAGAGAAATGACTCTGGGTGATGTGTTCTCAGGGTCTAGCTTCAGGAACTTGCAGAAAATGGAATATAAAAGTAGGGTTAAAAGCAGGTTTCAAAAATCTATCTTGAACCCAGTTAGGTTTAATGTATGGCAGGAAAAGAAACGAGGACTTTGTCACAACCCTGATACTTAGTCTATGCTGCAAGACCCCATCTGGGCTTCTCTGGGCTATAAAATGTGTTAAAACCCTCTTTTACATGTTTACCTTAACAAAAGAAAAGTTGGCTGTTTGGCCAGCAAAAATGTGTCTCGAGCAGGTGCGGAAGGCAGCCCCAGGGCTGCTTTTCAGGGACGTTTCTGTGAGATCCAGGGTAAGAAGCAGCTTGCTGGTGGGCAGGGCTGGGGCAGCGCCGGAGGCTCGAGCCTTCCCGGAACCTGGGCCTCCAGGGCTGCCTCGCCACCTTCCCTGCCTGTGAACTGGAAAGCACAAAGCTTTCGGAAGTCATCCAAGTGCCTGACCCTGCCTTCAGACTCAGATGTTGAGCCATTTTCTACCGTACACAATCCTGCAATTAGGTTGCAAAATATTCTCAAGCGGTCAAGCAAAGTCAGCATGTGAGATCTTTAAAACTGCAGGACGGGGAGGATGTGGCTTCTTCTTTTTGTATTAACTTGGAGAAGGGAAAGATCTAATTCCAAAGTTTTTTAGAAAAGAATTCTTTCTCTCCCCAAGATGCCTCATGTAAAAGAAAAACAGCTGGCGAGACCCTGGGACTTCGCTCTTTAGAGGCATTCTCTCTCACGTGGGCAGATCTAGGACAGCTGTGGGAAGGAAGATGCCAGAGCTCCTGAGCTAAGAGATCGAAAATGTAGTTGGTCACGCTCCATAACCTCTGCCAAACAGCTTTCACAGGGCAAAGGCCTGACATCCTACACTAAATACTGCAGACAGCTGAAGAACGGACTAGAGAGCATCCAATGAAACTACCAGGTGAAAGATTTGACGGACAGAAGGAAGTCTTTTTTCACACAACACATAATTAAATTGTACAACTCCTAACTCAATTGTGGAGCTCACAGCTACGGGACGTTATGGGGGTGAAAGTACAAATATATATAGTTCTAACAGTAGTTAGCTACGTTCATGGAGGAGCGGTCCTTTGGTCAAAATGGTCTGAACACAGCCCGTGGCTCAAGAAGCCACTAAACTTATTACTGCAGGGAATGTGGGAGATAGGCCAGGAAAAGCATCTGCCTACACTCGCCTTCTCTTGCGTTCTTTTCCTGCGCATCTGCGGTGGGGTACTAACGGGACGCTGAGCTAGGCAGACCAAAGGGCCTGGCCCTGCACAGCTTTGCGATGGCTGACGAGGTGAGGAAAGCTGACTTTCGCGCTCAGATCGGCAGCTTAAACAGGAGGCTGGTAGGAGACATCTCAAATGGCTGAACCGTGCAGCGGGAGGGACACAGGCATGAGAGTACGGATGACGGTGCTGGTAAACCAGCTTGAATGAATATTAAGAGCTTTTAAAAGAGATTTGAAAGGGAGGACCACAGAAATGTCAGTGTTTAAATCCCAGCGCACAGAAGTGAGATCTTTAAAAGTGTATGTTCACTTTTTAAAAAGTGTGTAGAGAAGAAGAGACCCAATGAAATGCTGTGTAGGCACTCTGAAACGCTTTCAGATAATGAACAAAAATACAGGACTTACCATGCAAAATGTCTGAATCATCTTCTACAAAATCAATATCTCTCAAATCCCATTCAGCATAGTTGTCAAACTCCTGTTCAGAGGTGATTAATAAATTGTCACTAACTAGCACTAAAAAATTGGTAACAAGCTTCAACATGCGTAGAAACGCTGAAAGCAGAGATAGTTACTCATACACAGTTGTATAAGGTTCCCTCCTTGAGCAACGTACATCACAGGGGAGCTTTAACTAGGGAATGTGTAATCTGCAGCCCCATGGCTGGAGCTGGAACAGGATGCTGTGACAGGAGAATGAGAAATAATCAGGTAATCTCCATGACTCCCACACCATGGTGGAAATTCTGCTCAAAGGCACAAAAACAACATGCCCCTATACGGCCGAATTCATTACTTCATGTACAGGAGCTTGTTTTGCAACAGGAATTGGGGCCCAGGGCCTACAGCTAAAAACCCTGAAAACAATGCGGGTCTTTCAAGCCATCTTTGGATCCGGCTCATATGTGCTTCTCTCAGGCAAAGGAAAGAGAGAGGCGCTGAAGCTGACCCCTTTCGCTAAGCATCTAATTCACGACGTCTAGTCCGCTTACGTAAGAGCCATTCATCGCTGGACATCTGGCTGGTGGCAGCAGGACGGCCCACGGCCCCGACGCAGAGCCAGCGCCGCGCAGACCGCCTGCTAGCAGCTCGCCAGGCTCGCAGCACCACCTCGGTAATTAAATCCTTGCTTGAATCACTCTCTCCTGTCCTCTATTCTAACGTTTTGTATAGGAAGGGTGAAGAGCTATAGGCGGGGGCAAACAAGTGTGCGTCTGCTGAGCTTGCATTCAGTAGCACATTTAAAATAACGGGAGAAGAGAGAGTCTTACCTCCACAAAGTCAGCTCTCGCTGGCATGTACCCTGCCATATCCCTGGAGAGCAAGGAATCAAAGGTAGGCCGTGGGGGATCATCAGCAGCTGAAAAAATACAGGTTTTTAGTTGGTGTGTGGGGCTTTGGGTCTTTTTTCAACCATCTGTAAATAGTTAAATAGTTGTTTCTTTTGCAGGAAAAGTGGGAATAATTAGTTGAAGAAAAACACTCTCATTGGGCTTTCATTCAGCGTCATTTTCAGAAAAAGACCCAAGCTCGTCCAGAGAAAAATGCAGTAATCCGAGATCTTCATCGCATTCTCAAAAGTCAAAGACAGAAATTCCAGGTAATAAATAGGTTATAAAATGTAAACTCTACATTGCAGAGCTCAGCATCCCCCTGGCAAACCTCTGCAGATCTCTCGCTCTCAGCGTGCAAGTTCTTTTAGTTAATAGCAACAGGGGTGTTACATCTGCCATCTTCTGGGTGCCATTTGCAGAGAGGTGCAATTAAAGCTATACAACTCTGAATTTTTACAGTGCCTCCCAGCTGAGGAGCTCAGTGTTTTACAGACAGTCATGGACCAAAGCTCACAACACGCTCGTGAAGGAGCTAAGCATTGTAAGTCCCACGCTACCGATAAAGCAAGCTGAGGCACAGAGAGTTTCTCTTGGCCCAGGTCACATACAAAAATCAATGACAGCCAGGGACAGAACCAAAACTGTCCAGCTCCCACCGCTTTAGCTCCAACCACTTGATCGTGAAACTGAAACCCCCAGATACCAAGCAATCTTTTTATCCAGCCATTCTGGGGAGCTTTATAATGGAACAGCTGCGAGACTGGGGGAATTCTAAAGACGTTAAATTTCAGGAAAACTGAAAATTTGTTCAATTGCTGAAGTTTAACATCCACTTTTTAAAAGGCAGTTTTAAAGAGAGAGGTGTGAACTCAGCCTAGTTTAAAGGGAATGATTTTATGACAAATCACTTCAGTGGTTAGGCCTGGTACGCAGCGGATAATCAGGTGAAATGTTTTCAAGGTAGAAATCCCTTCTCAGTTAAGATTGCTATACAGGGTCTGGACAAGAAAAGGAACCACCCCAGCGTCAGGGTGAGAACTCACACCGGTATCTACCTCAAAGGACACGCTGTTATACCCTGCCACGTGTGAAGTAGCTTGGAGGTGGCTCGTCCTTTAAGTGCACGTGCACACCCAGGCTTTTGCTGCGGTGATTTCTGTGAGTGACCACGTCCACTGGCTGCGCAGGAACTTCGGGTTTCGAGAACCTGATGTTTGTAGCAGGCCACTCTGTCCCCTCCCTGTCCCCACTGAACTGGCAGTCTTGTTTATTTGATACACCAACAATTTAATACAGTGTGAAGAGAACCCTGCGACTAACATTATTCAAGTTAGCCATCAGCACAAGCTCTCCTTCTGGGAAGGAAAGCAAACTGCACGTGTGGTGCACGCCTTTCTCCAAAGGCTGCTCGTTCCAGTTTTGGAAGGGCAGAGACCTTGCGGGGAAGCTCCCTGCGCCTGCTGGTGGGCAGGGGATACTCACGGTGGAAAGGAATGGCTGTTTCGCTGTGCTGCGCCTCCTCCGCCTGCTTCAGGTTCAGTAAGGTAGATGCAAACAAGGGATTGTTGATAAAGTGTTTCATATAATGTTTCTCACACTCCTCCTTGGACTTTGTGCACATCTGGTTGGCCACGTCCTGCCTGAAGTGGGGAGAGGGGGAGGCTTAATAAGAACACCACAAACGTTGAGGGTTTTTTTTTCTTTCTCTAGTAGGAAAAGATAATTTTGGACAAGAGATTGATGACAGTGTGTGCAGAGAACTGATCTGTGATGATGGCTGAATTCACGTTTTGCGTACTAACACTGAGCCAAGACTCACACGTTTGATACAGCGCTGGGGAGCACTTTTCTGGTGGTCACGAGCAATGCAATTCACTGTCTTGACATGAGAAACTCCCTGGCTGATGGAACATACCAAATCTTTTACATGCTTGAAATTTAGTGTTGCTATTTAAGAGCTTCTTATACATTTTACTGTCTCCGGGTAATGGTAAATTCAAAGTCCAGAAGTGCTTTCTGCTTCTCAAGTTTCCCTTGCAATTTTAACTGGGTAGTGGTTTCCCCTTTCCTGTAGTGATGTTAAACAGGTTTTTTTTAAGCATCGAAATGGTTGTACAAAATACATTCTAGAAACCTTTGCCAAACTTTCTTGGAAAAGTGGTTGACTAGAAACATGAAGTACTTTGTCTTAATAGAATGGCTGTGTAAGTTGAGGACTTATAAGAAAAAATAAAATCCACCAGCAGCAATCATTTTAATTTCTGTTAAATTGAAAACTGGATGCAAGGGATTCCAGGGAGAAAAGTCAGTTTTTCCTTTATTTGGTAAAGGCTGAAAAAAGCCAAGTGTTTAAGGAAAAAGTTAAGATTACTTGTATTGCTAAGTAGGGCAACGCGTACTAGGCAGCATACTTGCAGAACATAACTGCAACCAGTTTTCAGTCTTAATCTTGACAGCAAAGTACATGTAAGAACTCACAGTTCTGTTTCAGTGAAGTCTGGAGTTCTGTATTTTAATACAGCTAGTTTTTCATGAAGGAGAAGAGAGATAACTCATGACTAGAAATCTCCTTTATTTACAAATGCATAAAAATCCTGTAGCAACTACGGAAATCAACTTAACAGAACATAATGTAAAAATATGAAGTATTTCCAGTGCTCTATCCTAAATATGATAGAGAAGCAGAAAATCTCCAAAAATAACAATACCTAGCCAGTCAACCGTCAGCAAACCAAAACCACACAAGGTAAGAAATGTTGGTTTTTACATAGGAGTAAACTGAGGCACGGAAAATCTCATGCAATAGTTGAGCTCCTTCAAAACCTAGTGACCTTAATGCGAATTGAGGGAACTTTGTACTTCACTGGAGGTGCCCTGCACCTCACAAGAACCCTTTAACAATTTCCTTGTATATCTAACAGCAGATTCGAAAACAGAATCTGCTCCCCCAGTCTTCCACTTTAGCTGCTAAATTAGTGTCTCTCTCACAATAAGCCATCGAACATTCAGTGTGCACCGACGTATTCAACAGTAAAATCCAGTGAAACGGAAGGAAAAACTGCCCCTCATTCACTGACGTTGGCCACTAAATTCTCACCAGTTTCCAAATCCACAGTCCATCACAGCTTCCAGGAGCGCCATCTCCTCTTGCGCTGTCCAGTTAGGATCCAAGACAGGGAAATCGGAAGTCTAGAGAGGAAAAAAGCAAATCAGACTGCTATGATCCTCTGTTATAATCGATCACACGAAGAGCAAAGATGATCTAAACTACAGGGCAACATGGTATATAATACTGGTAGTTCTAAACTTCTACTGTGGCGCACAAAACCTGATCAAATAATTGTTGAATTATTTAGGGCATTGGTTATCAACTACCGCAGAAACTAGTTTGTCGCTACAGATCTTCTGAATATACTGTTACACGTTGTATCTACCAGCTGTAACTCAACAATGTCATGCTATGAAACACAACAAAATTTACTGAAGACTTTTAAAATTATTAATTTTGGGGGAGGAAAAACAAGAATAGACAAACAGAAGTTGATTCACATGGTTGAAGAACTGGAAGCCTGGTGAGATGCACTGTGCTATCTAGGCACAATAGAAAAATGTAGCTTTAAACATCTCCACTATTCCATTATGTTCCAGGTGGGTATTTTTCTTTGCTCTCAAGGAAGACTTTTTCTTTTTTTAATAGTTCTAAACCTCTGAATCAAAGAATTGTATCACTCAACTTTTCAATGTAATGTTAGTAAGCAAGGGTCCAACTCCTGGGAAGTTATGCAAGCTCAAGATGGAGTAGGTGTTATCTAAAAGGAATATTTACCATTATCTCGTAAGTATGATCGCTTTGATGTTTCTTGTATTCAAATCCTCGTGTGAAACACTGTAGAACACAAGATTAGCATTATGTTAATCTCCGAGTTCTGCCCTGAACACATGTGGACTGGTCCTGTCTTTCCTGGTATTCTCTGACCACTGGGTATCCAAAACTGACCACTCGATATGCTCAAAAAGATACTCAGTTTTTCTGATTTCATTTTAGAAAAACGTAAAATGGTAGAAAAACCTTTGTTAAAATTGTGTTAAATCGGTCTGTATCTTACTTGTCTTTTGCACCCAGACATAACTCCTGTGAATCGACATTTTTGGTAAGTATTTATGGCAAAGGTAGGCAGGTGAAGGCAGCTTGTGGTGGTTCCAGGAAGAGAGCACAGAGCATTTCTTCAGTATTGAAAACATTTTCCCTTTAATCTTGGTTTTCTGTTTAAGAAGCACCAGCATGGTTTGCAGCTATTTTCAACCGTTAAATTTCTGTTTTTTTAAATACAGGTAAATGAACAAAATTTATCCAACATACAAAATACAGGTTTGTGTGTTTTGTACGCATCTGAGCACAAGGCTAAGCTCCTTTTTCACATTTAGAGGTTTCTGCCATTTTTCAGTCATGAATAATGCAACCTTATTTACTTAATAATTAAAATCAGCAGTACTTTCTGTGGTTATCGGATCACACACCTAATTCTTAAAGAACTACATCTGGTCACAATTATTGCCAATATTGCAAACCTTCCCCAAATTTTCTGTTCCATTTGGGAGGAGAAAACCAACGTGTGGTGACAGGGAAAGGGTGTTTCTTGCTGGCTTTTTTTTTCCATGCCATAAAAAAGGACAGAAGGGATACCTCTCTAGACATGCAGCGGCATGCTCCGTTACACAGTCAGGCTGACTGCATGTCTTTAGGTAGCTTTGGCTGCCTTCACAAAGATCTCTTTCAGCTGCTCGTGCCTCAGCTCTTCAGCCTCCAACCTTTTCTTTGTCATTTCCCTGTCCCTGAGCAAATAAGTGTGTTGATACGAGTTTATAAAGACCAGTTATTAATGTGTTCATGGAACAGCTTGGCACCCAACAGGCCTTTGATGACATTCTCACAGAAATTAATGCCTTTGCTTTTCTCCTTGCACTCACCTGCAAACACAGGAGGAAGGGAGGAGGCCCACACTCAGCACACTTAACGTAGGGCTCTGTGAGGTACGAAGAGCAACCTCGGCATGGAGGCTTATCGAAAGGGTCATCTGCGAAGCCAAAAGTTAATCTCATGTAACACAAACAAGGCACTGGTTTTGCAGTCACCTAAATTCACTTGTGCCCAGTAATTCTAAATGAACTCAGCCGTATTTTACCTTTTTCCCACTGCAGCTTCTCCAAATTTCTGTTAAAAGTTCCTTGCTCAGCTAGGGTTGCAAGAGAGATGTTGGCACGGCAACCACGCTAGACCGGATACACTGAGGGCTAAACCTCGACACGTGCAACGGACTCAAAGGAAAATCCTCTCTGCAGCAGCCTCCTGGTACGACTCAGCAGCGATGCCAGGAGCTGGATCCAGTGCCCATGCCCATGTTCTGCACTGATGAGCAGACCCAAGGCCTTCTGTGTGAAGAACACTGCACAGACAGCTGCCCTCTCCCCCCCACCAGCCTCCAGCCTGACTTGTAAAACCTACTGCTGCGCTTGCAAAGGCATCAACAAGATTGTTCTGTGTCCTGACCAAACCTCAGGCTCTGCTCAGTTTGCTGAACGAGGAATGAAACACTGCTCTGCAAGTTTTTCTCATTTTGTTCATTGCAAAGTAGACAAAATAAACAGACTGTCAAGTTACAAGTCTCATTTTTTCAAAAAAAATGGATTTGAACTAGCCCAAGTATAAAAAGTAGATAGCAAAAAAGACCTGAATTGCCACCGAATCATTCATGTACTCATGCTCTTGAGAATTTGATCAAAGAAGTGACCCAGTGGACCAAATACTCCTGGTTTTCTGTCTCTCTCCCCGAGATGGCTGCTAATGTCTGTAAACAACGGCAAACACTTTCCAAATGTCATCTTCTGGTACTTACTACCGAAGGAGGCCAGGCGCTCCATTCCTCTCCCGCGGCGGTGTGCTTGCTCCTCTGAGTAAACCCGTCTTGCCTAGCAGCCTTGTCCCGTACGTCCAGAAAGGGAACGCTCTCCCTGCAGACGTCTCTCACGCAGCCCTCGCAGACGAGATCTTCCCAGAGCGTCCTGAAGAGAGAAGCAACAGGGCTGTCAGCAGCCTTTGTAACAGGGACCATCTGTGCGTGAGAAGAAATCAGACGCGGAGAGACGGGCTACAGCACAAGCGGCGACGTGAAGCGAGGGGGACCGAGCCTTTCCGTGGGGGTTCATGCGCTGCGCAGAGCGCGAGGAACAGCTGTTGTGCAAGAAAGTGTTTCACACCTCCAGCCAGCACCGGGAGGAGAACGAACAGGTTAGAGGCGGCATGGACACAGCGCTGGGGAAATCTACTGTGCTCCTGTCAACTACATTTTCAGTGTTGACTGTGTGGCAGCTTCCACGAACAGGCCCGATTCAGCAGCACCTGTACGGTGAGGTCCTAACTGCTGGCCACCATCGGGGAATTGAGCCGCTTTCCGTTGTGGGATCTCCAGCACGTCTCACTTTCCCAAGGTATTTTTGCTGAGAATGGCTCAGGCTTCTCACTTATTGAAATTCATGTTTCTCTTTCTAGACTTTTCTCCTCCCTGCACCACGTGGAGGCACGGTCCTGCGTCCAGGGACGCCACTGGAGCTGTGCAGCCCCTCCACGCAGATGGCAGGCGCTTCAACCCGGCTACGCATCCCTGCACCTCCGCCCGGATCCTCAGACAACCCAGAGCAACCTCCAGGCTGAACTCCTCACCCCGTGCCCGTAAGCGGCACCGCACAGCCACCCCTGCACTCACTCCACTCTGCGAATCCCAAACCACCGTGGCCCGGTCTACAGGGCTGCTCGAACCCAGGCACCACCGACGCGCCGGCGCAGCAGCACCGCAGCACCCACTCCCCACGTCCCATGTCCCACTCCCCCATAGCCCCATATCCCCACTCCCCACTCCCTATATCCCACTCCCCGTATCCCCAATCCCTCACATCCCAATCCCTACTCTCCATATCCCCCTCCCCCATATCCCCACTGCCCCAGATCCCTAATCCCCACGTCCCATGTCCCACTCCCCATAGCCCTACTCCCCCAGATTCCTAATCCCCACGCCCCATATCCCACTCCCCATAGCTCTACTCCCCCATATCCCACTCCCCATACCCCTAATGCCAACTCCCCCATAACCCCACTCCCTATATTCCACTCCCTATAGCCCCACTCCCCCATATCCCAGTCCCCACTCCCCATATCCCCACTCCCCCATATCCCAGTCCCCACTCCCCATATCCTACTCCCCATATCCCTAATCCCCACTCCCCCATATCCCCACTCTCCCATATCCCCACTCCCCATAGCCCTACTCCCCCAGATTCCTAATCCCCACGCCCCATATCCCACTCCCCATAGCTCTACTCCCCCATATCCCACTCCCCATACCCCTAATGCCAACTCCCCCATAACCCCACTCCCTATATTCCACTCCCTATAGCCCCACTCCCCCATATCCCAGTCCCCACTCCCCATATCCCCACTCCCCCATATCCCAGTCCCCACTCCCCATATCCTACTCCCCATATCCCTAATCCCCACTCCCCCATATCCCCACTCTCCCATATCCCCACTCCCCATAGCCCTACTCCCCCAGATTCCTAATCCCCACTCCCCATATCCCACTCCCCATAGCCCCACTCCCGTCCAGCCCTGGAGGACCCTTCTTCCCATCACCGCCAGGCGGCGCCCTCCGCCCTGCCCGGCCCCGCCCCAGGCAGGCCCCGCCCCCTCCCGGCGTTATC